TCCCTACAACTTTAAAATAGATTCCTCTGATACATACAAATCATACTTGTCTTCTTTCCTAATAAGTATTATCTTTTTGTATAAAAAATAATTTTCAAGACAGGAAAGACAGAAACCAGAGGATTTCATTCACATCTGTACAGAAGTATTTACTTTTGTTAGACAAAAAACTCAAGATCACAGTACACAGTGCTTATTTATTTAAATACTTGAAAAGGTCAATGATGGAAAAAATAGGTTCATAATGAGAGTTTTATTCATTAGATTTATTTTACCATTTAAAAAAGTGCTGCTTCTAGGTTATCCTAGCCAGATATAGAACACTTCATGACACATGCAGCTACTGTAATATACTATAATAGACACAGCCATTATAGAATGATTTACACTTTGGGAGGAAACTCAATAGTAGTAATGGTGACTATTTATTTAAACTAAAAACATTGATAATATACAAATCGTTTTTCTCATTTGATTGAAAGGGCTATAAAATCCAACATACTGACAAAGGAAACAAAATAATCACACAGGTGATGCCTTTGCTAATCGCCTTGAGCTTACTCCTTCCTTAAAGGAGAGCATCATACTCAGCTATACAATTTTCTAGACTGAACGATGGCTTCAAGACTGGCCTACCATGAAGGATGGGACTGAAAGAAAGTCATGTTTTTAAAAACGGAGAGAAAAAGGCAAATTGTGCCTCGTTTACTTAAAGTACCCAAAGATCATTCTGAGTAAATGTGAAATAAATAAGTGATCAATGAGTAAATAAAGTATCTGAGCTGACTTAAACCTAGGAGAGTGAGCCAACTGAACACTAATAATACCATGTAGAAACGTCTAGAAACATCATTTCCTGAACTCGATCTGGGAGACCATATCTTGCCTGAATATGTACATTATTTACAAAATATTCCCTTTTGGCCTCTGAAAGTTAGTCATTTTAGTTTGGCTGTTAAGCTGTTTCCTTCCATATGCTAGCCAATACTGCAGTTATAACTATCATTAAAATACTCTTACGCATGAATTACAAATATTAACAAAGTAACTCTGCATGTATAAATATCTCAATATTTCTAGCGGAATTTAAAGCATTCAGAATGTACATAAAAGTATTTGTTTTTGGTAGGGCCAGTATTTTTTTTTTTTTTAAATCATCGCTGTTTCAATAATGCTTTGTACATAGCAAAGCCCAAAACTGCAAAAACAGTAGCACCAAAACTTGCTCGAAGCCAAAATGTGGAGCTCTTGAGGTCAGCTTGTGTCACGTGCCTGTAGTCAAAAAATATAATTAATGTTTAAAACATGATTAGTATGAAAAAACCAGTTATATGAACAATCTACTTTTAGGGAAGTATTAGCACACTTGTCAGGCTAATTGCATACAGTAATGGTCACCAAAAACATTTATCAATAAAGCCACATGTACATTGCTTAGATAATCATTATCTTAAGACATACTGTAGACAGTAATAAAGAAATATCTATAATTAGTTACTATTTGGGAGTAAACAACATCCAAAATGTTATAAATTTTCTTCACATGGGAAACGGAGAACTTAGACAAATCAACTTGCCACTTTTTAAAACCAGTATGGTCCTTCAAAATGAGAGGTAAGACTGAGACCTCACAATTTTAAGAGTCAATTTCATGGAACTTAATGTGCAATCTCCTGTCCCCAGGAACCAAAAGCTATCTTGTAAGCAGTTAAGTGACAAGTGACAATACTTTTCTAAGAGCAATGCTTAAAATCAACTTTGGAAACACTGAGTCCCATAAAAATTTACCAAAAAAATCCCAAAGGGGTGGGGGAAGATTTACAAGTTTGCATTAATTTGGTTACTGCTGATTAAAGAAAGAAGAAGAAAACAAACAAACAAACGAACCAAACCCTGGTATCAGACAGGCAGTGACATTGGTACCAACTAAAGGACATGATGTAACATGATGGACTGAAAGGTAAATGACATAAAAGAAGCCATATTATGCATGACAAGAACAGGGACAGCCTGTATCACAAACTGAGTTTGTGAGCATGCTCAGTTAATAACACTGCTAAGCACCCCCAAGGGTCTCAAGTATGACAGCTTACCATGAAGAGGATACAGCTTTAAAGCAAAGGTTGGAACATTTTATTCAGCGTCACTGAAGTTTTAGTTAAGTGAACACAATTGAGGTGATGCAGAAAACTTACAGAATTAAGAGCTTAGAGAGACTGTCTAGTTTAGGTTATTTCACAACTAAATTAAACAAACATAGTTGAAGCAAGAGTCAGACATCATTAAAAGACCAAGACACTGACATATGCAAAAGACTTAAGAGCCAAAACTCTATAAATTATACAAAACTACTGTCTCAGTAATAGTCAAAGAGAGAACAATCAGATTAGTTATCACAAAATGCAATCTGTACATCCCTAAGAGACAAGTTTACAATACAAGCAAAGTGCTCCATGCTTATCACTATGGTAAAACAACACAAAGCACTCCAACTTATCTTATCCAGTTTCTATTAAAAAAAAAAAAGTCACTCCTTAAATAATTATTATTTTACAAGCAAAGTGATAACACAGGTTCATGCCACCTTGCAAGTTAGTTCTTCCAACAGGTAATGTTTCATTTTTTAAAAAAACAGTTAGGGAAGAAAATACTTAGGTTTTTAGTTTTTCCACTTGGAAAAACTCCAACAAAGCTAACCCACTGGTTGTGGGAAATGTTACCTGGCTTCAAGAAAAAGTGGACCATGAGATGACTCCACGAAGATGGAATTGTCTACAGAGCTGATGGCATGCACCTGGTGAATAATACTGCCTTCGTCGTCTGCTAACAGCACGGCACCCCACTCAGCTACCCGGGCTCTTAACCTTTTATACACATGCATACAGTTTGCAGTTCACAGCACAGCTCACAAAAGAAGGGGACTGAAAGTAATATCTCTCAATTAAACATCCCACACATAAACTGAGTTGCCACCCTACATGATGCATCTCATGCTTTCTATATTTAAAATAAAGTTATTCTATAGAAAATTGCCAAACTTAAAAAAATCTATCTATATATACTCTTTTAAAACACTCACATACCAGGCAGGAAACCTAAGGCTGTTATATACGTTCTCTATGTATCCCCCAGAGGCTGGTCTTGGTCTATCTGAAACACTAAGAGAAGCCCTTGAAACCAATACTATAAGCAGTACCTGACAATATGCGGTGACTATAAGTATTTACTCAAAATGAGGCTAACAACTATTAGTCATGAAGTTTAGAAATGCTTCTAGTTTCTGATTACTAAAAACTACAAACATACATCTGTTAAAAAAAAAAAAAATTGAGTAAAACATCCCAAACTCAGAGGCTGTCATGGACCTATGATGAGAGTTTCAAAGTTTACAACTCTAAGTCAGCAGAGATGTACAGAACTTAAAGTGAGAACACAGGCTAAAAGTGCATTAGATTTTTGCTTCAGATCTGGTCTCTCTGTGATTTTCATGCATCTTCACTAATGGAGAATATTTTTACACTTATTTTTTAATTTAGCGGAAAAGAGGGTTAGGATTAATATTAGCTATAATGACATTAAAATCAGCCAAAATGATTTCTCATCAATATTCTTCACATATGGAAACTGTTAACACAGCTTAGCTCCTTTTGTTGAATTTTGAGAAAGTATTACCATTCATGAAATAATATATTCTAACTGACTTTATTGCTTAGTTTTCTTTTGCATTTCAAGACAGTAATTATTACTTTCCCTAAGCTATAGTATAGTCTTCAATAGGCAAAACAGTGGTTCATATTTATAGGTGGAAAACAATACAGATACATGTTCAATATACAGCTAGTTTAAAACTCAAGGCAACCACTGACTCATAAAATATATTTCAATGACTCCATCGACGTTATAGTAGTTGTTTAACATACTTTTAGACATGGAAAACTACTTTTAGACAGAAAGCTACTTAGGGAATTATTTTATGCCTTTACCATATGCATTTAAAAGCTACATCACCAGGCTCTATTTACAAAAGAGAATGCATTTATAACAGATGGCACATTTGCAGTGCCTGCCTAACTGACAACACCTGAATGGAGAACAGTGCAATCTTAATTGTAAGTATTAACAACTGAGCCATGTTTGTCATTTCAGATCTCAAGCAGAAGCAGAGTAACAGTTTCATAAGGCTGCTTCCTAGTTCATGCCTATAAACTCAAGCAAAAGGAATGCTTCCACAATTCAAAAGTTTAATTCTTTCCAAATGACTCACATAAAACACCTCGGAATAAATTATAATATCTTACGGCATATTTTTTAAGTTTTTTTTGACTATTAAAAAAGTAATACAGGGAGTTCCCTGGTGGCGCAGAGGTTAAAATCCCGCTTGCCAATGCAGGGGACACAGGTTCGAGCCCTGGTCTGGGAAGATCCCACATGCCGCAGAGCAACTAAGCCCACAAGCCACAACTACTGAGCCTGAGTGCCACAACTACTGAAGCCCATGTGCCTAGAGCCTGTGCTCTGCAACAAAGAGAAGCCACTGCAATGAGAAGCCTGTGCACTGCAAGGAAGAGTAGCCCCCGCTTGCCGCAACCAGAGATAGCCTGCGTGCAGCAATGAAGACCCAATGCAGCCAAAAATAAATAAATAAATAAATAAATAAACTTATATTAAAAAAGTAATACAAGCACACTATATGAGGAAAATAAAAGTAGGAAGGAACAAAATCACCTGGAATCACCTGAGGCAACTAATTAAAATTTGGGGTATTTCCTTTTAAACTTTTTCTATTTCTAACATAGCTACAAACACAATGTGTATAATTTATATACTTTTATATCTTTTAAAAATATTATATAGGCACTTTTACATAAATTATAGAGACATCATTTTAAATAGCTGCTTTATATTCCTACTAGTGGCTATCACCATTTACAGGTGACTGTAACTAAAGTGATGAATACCTTCCTACATTAAGATTTTTCGCTATATTTAAAATAGTTTCCTTAAGATAGACTACCCCAAAATGAATATTACAGGGTCAAAAATGTGTGTGTGTGTGTGTGTGTGTGTATAAAAAGGTTCTTTTTTCCCAATCTACTGATATATCAGAATCACACATTTCCCTACTCTACACAGAATAAAATAATTTAGGTTCAGC